CAACAATATTGAATATTAAAATAGATCAAATGAGGTATGTGAATGACAATTGAACGTCTAAATGATTGATTGATTGTTCGATTGAAATCTAAAACTACTGATACTAGTTATAAGTTAGCTTGCTGCCATTAAAATTTAAATTATGAAAGAGAGTGATCAAGCATAGAGGAGATTTATAATGTATTGGGCCAGATTTTTAATACTGAAGAGAATTATGGGGTCTAGATAACCTTGATATTGTAAAATATTACTGTATTCAAAAATAAATTGGTTTTTTAATTATTTGTATTTTTAGCTAAGGCGCTTATCATCGGGTTTGTTATCAGTTATATTGTTATCGTAGTTATTGTTGCAAAGACGAATCTCTTGGGTTACTAACTGATAACTTATTTAGTTTAATAAAGATTTTTTGTGTGAATATTTCTAAAATTGTTTAAAAAAATTGATTGAAAAAAATCAATTTTATTTTATTAAAAGGCGGGCGCTAATGTTCACGTTTACATTATTGTGGCAACATTGTGTTAAACATGATTTTTAACAATTTAAAACTATTAATTTTTTATTCTTTTTTTTCATCTCCATTGGTGTTCATTCGAACGCCAATTTTCTGTGTTGAGGAAGAAAAAAACACGTTTAAACAATTAAATTAAAATTACACACCACTGACTACTGCAAATAATAAAACAAATGTTTTTTAAATTAGTTGGAATATTTTTGCAACATTTTTTTTTTGTTTGTTTTTGGTTTTGCCACCGTTTTCGGACAATTTGTTAAAGAATTTAATTTAAGAAGAAAAAAAATCCGCAAATAGAATTTATTTTTCATACCCAATGAAAAAAAAACTCGCTTGTCTCTAAGAACCGGTATAGCGTTAAACGCCAACACGATTTTCAAAAACTATTTCAAAATTACAACAATTTGTACAAAATCAAATCATACCACCCACAAACAACATTAATTTGAGTGAAAAAACAATACTGAGACATTAAGAGCAAAAAAGTAAATTAAAAAAGAATTTAACGAAAATGTAAACAGCGCACCAATGGAACCACTTGAGAATGTGAAGTAAATCAGAAAAAAAACTTAAATAACAAATCAGCAACAAAAACTTGATTATGAAGAAAAAAAATGGTATTAAATATTGTCGGCAAAAGATCAATGATTTAAGGTTCACAAAACAACAAATTGAACATTTAATGAAATGTAAACTAGAGCAAAAATTCGAAATCAAAGAGATTTTGAAAAAAAGATAAAGTAAGCTTGACTGTGACTTGACTATGACTTAACTATGACTTAAAAATGACTTAACTATGACTTAACTATGACTTGACTATGACTTGACTATGACTTGACTATGACTTGACTATGACTTGGACTATGGATCAGACTATAAATTAGACTACAGACTTGACTGTAAACTACACTATAGACTAGACTATAGACTAGACTATAGACAAGACTATAGACTAGACTATAGACTAGACTATAGACTAGACTATAGACTAGACTATAGACTAGACTATAGACTAGACTATAGACTAGACTATAGACTAGACTATAGACTAGACTATAGACTAGACTATAGACTAGACTATAGACTAGACTATAGACTAGACTATAGACTAGACTATAGACTAGACTATAGACTAGACTATAGACTAGACTATAGACTAGACTATAGACTAGACCATAGACTATACTATAGACTAAACTATAGACAAGACTGTAGACTAGACTATGGACTAGACTATGGACTAGACTATGGACTAGACTAAAGACCAGACTATAGACTATACTAAGTATAGACTATACTATAGACTAGACTAGACTATAGACTAGACAATAGACTAGACTATATACTAGACTACTAGACTAGACTATAGACTAGACTATAGACTAGACTATAGACTAGACTATAGACTAGACTATAGACTAGACTATAGACTAGACTATAGACTAGACTATAGACTAGACTATAGACTAGACTATAGACTAGACTATAGACTAGACTATAGACTAGACTATTGACTAGACTATAGACTAGACTATAGGTTACACTATAGACTAGAGTATAGACTAGACAATAGACTAGACTATATACTAGACTATAGACTAGACTATAGACTAGACTATAGGCTAGACTATAGAATACACTATAGACTAGAGTATAGACTAGACAATAGACTAGACTATATACTAGACTATAGACTAGACTATAGAATAGACTATAGACTAGACTATGGACTAGACTATAGGTTAGACTATAGACTATAGACTACACTATAGACTAGACTATAGACTACACTATAGACTAGACTATAGACTAGACTAGACTAGACTAGACTAGACTATAGACTACACTATAGACTAGACATAGACTAGACTATAGACTAGACTATGGACTAGACTATAGACTAGACTATAGACTAGACTATAGACTAGACTATAGACTAGACTATAGACTAGACTATAGACTAGACTATAGACTAGACTATAGACTAGACTATGGACTAGACTATAGACTAGACTATAGACTAGACTATAGACTAGACTATAGACTAGACTATAGACTAGACTATAGACTAGACTATAGACTAGACTATAGACTAGACTATAGACTATACTATAGACTATACTATAGACTAGACTATAGACTATACTATAGACTATACTATAGACTAGACTATAGATTGGACTATAGACTAGACTATAGATTAGACTATAGACTAGACTATGGACTAGACTATAGACTAGACTATAGACTAACCTATAGACTAGACTATAGTCTAGACTATAGACTAGACTATAGACTAGACTATAAACTAGACTATAGACTAGACTATAGACTAGACTATAGACTAGACTATAGACTAGACTAGACTAGACTATAGACTTGACCTATAGACTAGACTATAGACTAGACTATAGACTAGACTATAGACTAGACTATAGACTAGACTATAGACTAGACTATAGACTAGACTATAGACTAGACTATAGAGTAGACTATAGACTAGACTATAGACTAGACTATAGACTATACTATAGACTAGACTATAGACTAGACTATAGACTAGACTATAGACTAGACTAAAGACTAGACTATAGACTAGACTAAAGACTAGACTATAGTCTAGTCTATAATCTAGGCTATAGACTAAACTAGAGGCTAAACTATAGACCTAGAACTATATATAGACTAGGGTATGTTTACCTTTACTTTGTTTTATTTATTTTACAGTTTCACAAGACTATATGCATTAATACTAAATGAACTATTTTAAAAACAAAATAATAAATATTTAAAATTTCTTAAATTCTAATAAACTCTCCCATAAATATCTAAAATTCTAAAATATTTATGTAATGTAGTTAATACCCCCGCGGTGCGTATTATCTTTATTAATTTATTGAGTGAATGATTGATAAGATTATATATTTTATACGCATATAACTAAATTGATAATTGTAAAGCATTGTATATCTGAAAGGTGTATAATTTTACTAAGTGTTTGAGTGACTACTCAAACGAAATTAATTTATGCGTTTGTTATTGTAAAAGATTAATTTAAGCTGTCATAGGCATTTCTGTGATAGATTGAATATAAACAATTGAGCAAAGGACAATGATGGTTGGTTTAGAAATTGATTATAAGACATTGCTAAGTCATAGTTAGGACATAGTGTAGTTATAGAGAAGTCAAAGTGTAGTTATAATGTAGTCATAGTGTAGTTATAGTCTAGTCATAGTGTAGTCATAGTGCAGTCATAGTGTAGTTTTAGTGTAGTTATAGTCTAGTCATGGTGTAGTCATAGTGTAGCTATAATGTAGCTTTAGTGTAGTTATAGTGTAGTTATAGTGTAGTCATAGAGTAGTCATAGTGTAGTCCACAGTCTAATCATAGTCAGTCATAGTCTAGTATAGTCTAGTTATAGTTCGTAGTCTAGTAGTCTAGTCCTTAGTCTAGTCATAGTCTAGTCATAGTCTAGTCATAGTCTAGTCCCCTAGTCTAGTCTAGTCTAAGTATAGTCCTAGGTCATAGTATCCTAGTCCATAGTCTAGTCATAGTCTAGTCATAGTCTAGTCATAGTCTAGTCATAGTCTAGTCATAGTCTAGTCATAGTCTAGTCATAGTCTAGTCATAGTCTAGTCATAGTCTAGTCATAGTCTAGTCATAGTCTGTCATAGTCTAGTCCTAGTCTAGTCATAGTCTAGTCATAGTCTAGTCAATAGTCTAGTCATAGTCAGCTAGTCAATAGTCCTAGTCATAGTCTAGTCATAGTCTAGTCATAGTCTAGTCATAGTCTAGTCATAGTCTAGTCATAGTCTAGTCATAGTCTAGTCATAGTCTAGTCATAGTCATAGTCTAGTCATAGTCTAGTCATAGTCTAGTCATAGTCTAGTCATAGTCTAGTCATAGTCTAGTCATAGTCTAGTCATAGTCTAGTCATAGTCTAGTCATAGTCTAATAATCTTTTTAGACCTTTCTAGTTTTTAGCAATTTTGGTTGGTATTTCACAATATTTTTTAATTTATAGTTTTTTTTTTGTAACAAATATTTAAATATTGATAAAAACAAAATAATTTTTACAAATGCTAGAACTTAAAAAACTAATAATCATTAAAATGACATCACTCTATATACACTGGGCATTCAATGATGTGGAATTTTATAAAAATTTTACAGGAAATTAAAACTAGAAACTAAAAAAAAACAATAAACGCTATTTATTTAATGGTTTAAATGACTTTCTCTAATGGAAAACGATAAATGTTACATACAGTGGGTAATAAAATATAAAAATCCGTTTCTAGTCAAAGTTTAAATATGAAATGTATAAAAAAAAAAATGACTTCAATTTTAAAATAAAAAAATATATATAAACAAAATGCAATCATAAATTATAAATCATATAATTCTCTAGATAATTACACACTAAATCTATACACTACTGTTTTAATTAAATAATTTAATTTCATTTCATTTATATTCACTCACCTTTGGTAATGAGGCTAATACTTGTTGTTTAACATCCCAGACCAATTTATCGGAGGGAAATTGCAGACATTTGTAGACATTTAATTCGGGCACATGTATGCGCACCAGTAGCCAGCCATCCCGTGGTTCTGGCGGTGGTTCATCATCAAATCCCGGCCCTGAACTGTTGTCCATGTTGGCCGGGTTTTGTTTGACTTTGGGTGTGGGTGGGTGATACGACGTAATTTTGAATGTTTTTTATATTTTAAACGATTTATTTCAAATATAGAAATTTTTCAATAAAAAAAAAGAAAAAGTTTCTTAATCACAAAATTCTTTCTTTTTTTTAGCTTTTTTACTTATAAATCTAGAAATTTGAAAAAGAAAAATTAAATTAAAACAAATTGTTTATGATTCTTAATTTCTTTTTTTTTTTTTTTGTTCGTAATGAGGTGCGAAGTTTTTATAAACAACTACACTATTTTCTCTCTTAATGTACTTTGTTTAAATGTTTTAGTTAATTTTGTATTTTTTTGTTTTAGCTTTTCATTATCTAAATATTTGCTTTATTAATTAGATTAAAATAACCGAATATTTTGTTTCGTGTTTTTAATTTTCTTATTTTATAGCTGTTGCAGAAACGCATGCCATTTGTTTTCGTAGTGTAACATTTTTAATGTTTATATTAAGTCCAATTATTCCGCAACTTCCCATTAGAAATTCAGGCTGCAAATAGAGAAAAGAACGAAAAAAGAACACAAATTAATGTTGTTTTAACAAATTACTTAAATAAATAATAAATTTTATGCCATCAAACACTTAAACAAATATTTTAAACTTAATACATTTATATACAAATGATTTTTGTTCTCTATTTATTAAGTAAATTAATCTTAATTAATAAATAGTAATTAAACAGTTGTGAGTTTTTAGCTTTGTGTAAAGAAGAAAACATTATTAAATTGTTGCGAAAACAATATTAAGAGAAAAGTAAATAAATTAACTTTGAAATTAATAACATTCATACGCTCTAGGGACTTTAAAATATAAATTAGATTTTGTAATAAATAAATCTAATTAAGTGATTTAAGAACTATAAAAGAATTTTAACAAAGAAGTTTTAGTATGGAGAAAAGGTAGACTAGACTTAACTGACCATAGACTAGACTATAGACTAACTATGACTAGACTATAGACTAGACTATAGACTAGACTATAGACTAGACTATAGACTAACTATAGACTAGACTATAGACTAGACTAGACTATAGACCTAAGACTAGACTATATACAGACATATCGATAACTAGACTAGACTAGACTAGACTATAGACTAGACTATAGACTAGACGATAGACTAGACTATAGACTAGACTATAGACTAGACTATAGACTAGACTATAGACTAGACTATAGACTAGACTATAGACTAGACTATAGACTAGACTATAGACTAGACTATAGACTAGACTATAGACTAGACTATAGACTAGACTATAGACTAGA